GAACTGCAGAGAATGGAAGCATCTGAAGAACAGAGTGACAAGGGTGACAATGATCTCTGATGTGAGGGACAGAAGCAGGGGAGTCCGGGACAACACCCCAGGTGTGAGCCACCATGCCAGCCCAAAAATTAAAAAATAAAAGAATTCATGCATTCGTTCAGCTCAGGTATTCTGGAGTTCCTACTAAGTGCCAGGCACTGGCTGTTAGGCATACAATGGCAAACAAGAGGCGTGGGCCCCGTCCTCAAAGAGCTTACATCTAACAGTGTCAGCCTCTAAGAGAATGGCAAGACAGTAGGTATATTACAGAGTGAAAAGAAAAGAGGGCTTGGGAAAGACCCTGAGGAAAACCAACAGCTAAGTCATTTATATAAGTCTGAATGTGGTCAACTGCACAGAACTTAGTACTTGTTAACAACCATCCCATGGCTTTGTCTTTCTAGAACATTCCCTCTATTGTAATCCTTACTACATTACACTACACTACTATCATCTTTTATTTTTTATTTATTTATTTATTTTTTTTTTTGAGACTCAGTTTTGCCCTCGTAGCCCAGGCTGGAGTGCGGTGGCGTGACCTCGGCTCACTGCAACCTCCACCTCCCGGGTTCAAGTAATTCTCCTACATCAACCTCCCGAGTAGCTGGGATTACAGGCACCCACCACCATGCCCAGCTAATTTTCGTATTTTTAGTAGAAAGAGAGTTTCACCATGTTGGCCAGACTGGTCTCGAACTCCTGATCTCAAGTGATCCACCCACCTCAGCCTCCCAAAGTGCTGGGATTACAGGCGTGAGCCACCGCGCCCGGACTACTATCACCTTTATGGTCAGTGCGTTCCACTTGACTGCAAGCCCCTGAAGCTGGAGAGGTCGCCTTCCATCTGATTCCCCATGAGCAAGTACAGTACCTAGCACGCCAATGAAACACTAACTGTGTATCTTGGACAAAATAATAAATTCCATAAGCGCAGCAACTGTGTTTAATCCATGATTTGTATCTCACTAAATTTAGCTGTGTATGACCTGATTCACCTAGAAAAGGTTTTCTAGTCTAATATCTCAGGACTTTTTAAGCAAGGCCACCCCTTACTCTAGGAGTATTTCATTTTTCAAAACACATTGGAGCACTGGTTCTTAGGTGAAAATCCAGGTTAACACCTCAACACAGACGGTGTTTTATTTCTCTATCTGCTCCTGAGGGAGGAGCACAGTCCCTGCAACCACTATGGTCTGCAACCCCCTGCCCAGGCCCCCTGGATGCGTTTGAGTGCACCCTCCCATTTTCCACACCAGTTACTATATGTTGCATGAAAACATTCAGTGGCTCCTTGATACCATCAGGATAAAGCTTTTATAAGGCCCAGCACTGACGACTTCTTGCCAGTCTAAATTCCTGAAGTTATATCTTTAACCTATTTACTCATTCCCGGGGGAGGAAGAGGGAAAGTTGATAGCTCAATAAAAATACATTCTCTAAATAAAGTTACTCCGTTTTCCCTTAATCTCTTCTCATCAAGGTTTGATGAAAGGCAGTTTTTCTCTTGTCCATCGGCCTATCTGACTGCTAGCCTGGGCAGAGCTTACCTGCTGGAGCCCCTCAGTAATAGAAGTTACTGGAGCCATCCCACAGGTCAGGGCCGAGAGCATGTACCCATCTGAGCCAAGGGAACTGTTGAAATTTCCTTGCTAAAAGAGAAGGAAAAGACGAGAAAAAGGGAATCCTAGTAATGTAGACAGAAATCAGTCCGACGCATCAGAAACAGTGGAGTGTGCTCGTTCACTTTAAGTGAGATAAAACGGTCACAAAGCATTGAGCAGCACTCAGAAATGGACGCAGGGCCTTGGCAGATGGGCAGTTCGCAACAAGTGAGTCCACGGAGCCCTGCGGGCCCCGGAGGACAAATGATTGTCCTAATAACACTAAGACATTCATTCTCTTTTCCACAGTGTGATGTATGGGAAATACAGTTTTGCCTCTGCCAAACTGCAGACACGGGCTAAAACCACGGTGTTCTGACCAAACTGTACTAGGAGTCACTGTCATCGGTACTACCACACACACTTGCAGTAATAAAGAATACACAAAGAAAATACAAGTTCTAAAATTCTTTTAAAAATCAAAAAGTGTCAGTTTTGCTTTAAAATCCTCTTGATAAAGCAGCAAAATTCATCATTTTGTTAAATGGCAACCCTCGAGGACATGTCTTCTTAATACTCTGTGTGACAAATGAGAACACGCCCAGTGCGCTCCCGCGGCACTGCATTCCAGAGGGGGACAACTGCCTGGAACAAAAGCCCTTAAGCAGCTGCTTACGTCGAGGGCTAAACTGCCACTTCTTTCATGGAGCGTCATTTTTATTTTTTATTTATTTATTTTTGACAGAATCTCACTCTGTCGCCCAGGCTGGAGTGCAGTGGT